GAATCCATTGCCATTGTAGAATGAAATAACCGTGCTCCATTAAAGGAGGTTCCATGTCACAGCCTGTACGGGTCCATATGGCTCCTAGCCTAGGAAACAGAAATACCTGCTCTTGTGGAGGGCTGCTTCAGGATTCAAATGGCAGCAAACGAGGAGCTGTGGATTTCAGGGTTTAAGTCCCACCTTTTAATGTAGAAAGCAGAAGCTACGGACCTCAGAAAGCAGCCCGTACCACACAAGGAGATGATCACTCATTGAGATGTCTCTGAATCATTTACATTGCAAATAAGAGAACTAAACCAAACCAACTAACAAAACCCCTCTGCCCTGTCTCACTGCCCACAGTTTTTAATCTAGTCAGTCTGTTCTGGACCCAAGATTTCAAAGTTTAATCGGTTTGGTAAACCTAGGCAATGACATGCACCTTCCAATTATAACCCACTGCTCAATGTGTGTCATGTGTCCCTCTCTGTGTCTGATCCACAGAAGATGTCAGCCTCTTACAACCCGGGCAACAGAGCCTGGCTCTTTAGTTTAAGCTGCAGAGACCCATGCTTTCCTATGAAGGGCCTCAGGGTATGTCTACACTTACACCTTAGTTCGAACTTGGGATGCAAATGTAGGCATTCGAAATAGTCAATGAAGCAGGGATTTAAATATCCCACTCTTCATTAGCATGATCTCATCGGTGCATTACTCCAATCAACAGCTGTTTCAAAAGTGAAAGTGCGTGCCGGGACGTGTTAGTTCGAACCAAACCCCTTGGTTCGAACTAACATTACTCCTCATTTTTGGTTCTAACTAACACATCCCGGTGCGCACTTTCACTTTCAAAACAGCTATTGATCGAAGTAACGCGCCGGCGAGATCATGCTAATGAAACATGGAATATTTAAATCCCCACTTCACTGACTATTTCAAATGCCTATATTTGCATCCCCAGTTCGAACTAGGGTGCAAGTGTAGACCTACCCTCAATCCATGAATTGCTGCCATCACACAAATATTCCTAAACAAAGCCAGGTGCATGCTGAGGCATATTTCCTAAAGAAGAGTATCAACCCACTTCCATTCATGTCCTTTCCTAAGCACCTGCAGGTCGAGATGCTCGGGGGATGGGCATGGTAAATTTACCTACATAGATTAGAACAGCGCAATGAACCTTTACTCTGGGACTGTTGATATCTGAGGAATATCACTCTGACGTGTAATTCAGGTGGTGTGAGCTTCCCCTTAAATTAACCTCTCTCTCTTCCATTCAGGGCTTTGTACATAGAAATTATTCTGTGAACACTACCCAGAAATCTCTTGATGGAACAAGAGATCACATGAGGCCTGCCCTTTACATACTGCATCAACACAGTGGGTTTTTTCCCGTTCTGAATTAGCCCAGGTTTCCAAGTGGAACTCTACCCCTCAATGCATCTCCAAAGCAAGAGTGGGAAGCAACCCTGAATTGCTGTGTATTTTATCTACCTACAAAATGTGGCTAGCTCTCTCTCTCTCTCTCTCTCTCTCTCTCTCTCTCTCACACACACACACACACACACACAGTTGCTCATCTCATATCTCCCTACATTTGCAAAAACCACTGCTTTCATTTCAGAAAGATGCCAACAATGCCAAAAGATATTTTGATGTATTTATAGCTAATCAAAATCTGTGTGTCATACGCTGAAGTTCAGTGAAATTCTATCTAATAAATAAACAGCGGAATAATCTCTTTCACGTACAGTGCATCAAATACTATAAACTCCACTACTTCCATTGGGGCACACAATTAGCACACAAAAAATTCTGTGTACCTCACTGAATATGTAACTTGATGCATATAGGGTTGATAGGGTTCTAGTTCGCGCCAGATTTCTATAAACAGGATTAATTCTTATAACAGTTATTCACTGTTTCAAGACACGTCACACAATGGTTTCTGTTAGTATTTATTTTGAAAAATGGAAAGCCCCCCTTTAAAAATAAAATAGAAATAAAATAGAAATAAAAAAAATAAAAAAATGAAAAACACATTAAGCAATCTTAGAAGCACACCAGCTCAACTGGGGAACTATGACCAAAGCAAGCCCTGTAATAGTATAATGACCTTTAATGAGTGTCTTGGGAAACAATACAGCCCTAGCATAAAAGACAAAGGGCAAAATTCATCATGGCTCCACTGACACTAATTCAAAATGATTTTCTGAACAACTAAAGAATGTAAGAGAGGTAATCTGATCTACCCATGTGACCTCACTTTGATTCCAGGGCCCTGCTGCTGCCATTTCTAATTGTCAAACACTCTAAATTTCACATCTGTTCATATTTAATGAAAAGCCGACTCTCACCACCATTCTTTGAGTTAACTAGCTCTGTCAAGATGGGCATCATCTGACCCCTCTGCACAGCAAAGAAAACATGGTGATTTCTATTGAAGCTCTTCCAGTGGAATTTGGTGAGTATATGCGTGCGTATGTATACATATGACTTATGCTGGTTTGTGAAGGGCTGGCTGGAATTGATATTGATTTTTCTGAGTTATTATTAAACGGGTAAAGGTGACTGGTCTCACACGGGGAAGAATGAGACCTCTTGATTTGATGGGGCGACGATGGGGGGAAAAGGCCTATGAAACGGAGGATGCTACAAATCCCTAAAGTTGTCAATATCCCTTAGATTTCAACATGTAATATGGGTGTGACGTGTTTCCCAAAGTGGTGCTGTTGAGGGCAATGCTATCATACACAGGATGCTTTTGGTTGACTAGGCAATGAAATTAAAACCAGGGTTTTTCCCCTCTATAGCCTTAAGTGAACTGGAAAGCACCAAGAACTATTAAAATTATGACTTCTTTTTGCTTGCCAGATGATATCCATGGTCACCCATTTGTAGAGGACGTATTCATTTAGCCCTGTCTGTTGGCTGCTAGCAGCAGTGCCAGGACTCAACCACTGTCTCTTTGCATGAGACCACATTAATGTAAAACTATTCTGTGCTGGGTTGCAGAGACTCGCAGGTTGTAGGAGTAAATGCATCTGCAGTATCTCGCAGGAGGGAAAGGTTCTCATTTACTGGGCTGAGCACAAGGCAGTTGGTTGGACGATACACTGTGGTGACCCAGGTTTCAACAAGGGGTGCCACCTCTTAGTATAGAGCAAGGGATTTACTAGTGGAAGCTGACACCTGTGGCAGGTGATGCATTAGAGGTGACTACTGTAAAAAGTGACACCACAACTACGCTACACACTCCTTTATGGCACTATGCAGAGTACATACGAGTCACATCCCTCCAGCACATGTATAAATAGTGTAAATGGTGAGACTTTGCTTAGGCGAGTTGAATAAGGCCCAAACCCTTACTGTAGACACTCTCAACAGCTCTGTACATGCCCAAGCTGCACCTCCCCCATCGAGACTGCTATGGGAGCTGCATAGTGTCCTGCTACCTCTCTGTTGCTCAAGTGCTTTCCCCACGGCAGGAAAAAGGCAGTAGCAGTGCAAAGAGGCCTGGTGAGGAAGAGGAAGGTGCTTCAGCAGTGCCCCACTGCCGGAGCCTTTCTTTGCCACAGGGAACTGCTATAGCCTCCGCGCCCTCCGCCTTGCCAGAACATTCACTGACACGTGAAGTTACATGCTGCAGTGTGGACACTGTTTCACCGTTCCATGTAGTCTACCTATGGCTGCCAGCAGAGTGCAGTAAGAACATAGCCTCAGAGTGCTGGGACCTACACACTGGGACACAGAGAGGGTTCTCATCACCAAGAAAAGCCTGCTAGATAAAGCTTTTTGTTTAGATGCCATGAATCCATCTCTCTGAATCCAGGGATCACAGACCAAAATAGTTAGAGCCAAAGCATCCACCAAGTGTCACTAAACTCTGCATTTATGATGGATCAGCATCCACTAATCCTATTGCACTCAGCCCTTGTTGGGGCTCCTGTGTTCCAGACCAGACGGTATAAGGTGACTGCTCTTCCTGACCAAAGCTAGATTTTTCCTAACAGCTCATTCTGATTTTGCCCATCCATTTGGATAGGGAAAAGGAAAACAAGCTCTGTCTGTTACGGACACTTGAACAGAGTGGCCGTGGTTGTCCTTAATCATTTTCTTTGACTGCTGACGAATTCACTGAAAGAACTGGTGTGCTCTGGCTCCCAATAATTTATTGAACAGCCACATGCACTGCCCCTCACTCTATGTCGTCAGAGGCGCCTTTGTGGCTTGGTCACGATAGGTACTAACCACTGTCTGTTGGTAGAAGTGTATTTCACTCCTCCTTCACACAAGGGTACTTTGTCATGGACTCCCTCACATAAAGCTTGTATCAGGGTAGTCTCATTAAAGAGCAGCTGATGATGAAATAGCTGTACAGTGGGCACGCTCAACTGTACTAAAGCCTTCTGGGGTGTCTATCTTGAATGAGGACTTCCTTCCTTACAGAAAACAAAAGCTTACAAAGAACAAGGCTAATAAAAACAAACAAACAAACAAACAAGAAACCCTTGCTTCAGCTACAAATTCTATCCTTCATAGGGGATTTCCACTGCCTATTATATGCCATTCAACCACACTGCTATCATATTTGCAGACTGAATTTACAGGTTTTTTTTTTTTACCAACTTTGTAGTCACAGATTTAGACACAGACTTCCCCCCCTCAACTATCAATAAGGCATTTACTTTACTATTTAATGACAATTTATACTGTATGCATGAAATCAAAACAAAAACATCACCAAGCTGTGCTACTAAAAGTCTCACATGCTGCTGCAAAGACGCACTGTTTTTAAGAAGCACATAAAGCAAATTGATGCGTAAATTAAATTTTGGTATTAAACTCCCCTCCCCCCCAAACCGTGTAATACATAAAAATAGAACTATATTAAAATTAGTTTGGAAAAAAAGCATCAGCCCAATAAAACTCACAGAACTACAATGTACGACACAAGACAGGGATGGTAGCACAGACACCACAGACATGGAACAGCATGTGTTGGTGTTAAAACTTACAGGCACGTAAACTGGTGGAGCAATCATTAACAGAGACAGAAGAAAGTGGGAAGGCTCTCTCAAGGGTGTCCATGTTACTATGTACACTGCCTGACATGCAAGAGCAGTCACGCTCAGAGCGTCCGCAATCAAAACAACATGCCAGTTTCATTCTCTTGTAGATGGACATCTTGGCTATAACCATGTGTTGGATGGGAGGAGAGGAAGAGCAGCAGGTTAATGGCAAGGTTATATAAATATATAACAAGGTAGCTGGAAGGTAACTTAAGGGATTTAATACAGGCCTTAGATTATGTTTAACAGTCTTGACCCAGGAAAAAAAATGCAATGTGATTATTGATAACAATTTGGCTGCACATCAAAAGTAGGGAAAAGATAAATTATTCTTTATACTCTCCCCAAGCCATACAGGGTGACCAGAGACATAGGGAAAAAATCACAATCAGATTTTCAGATTAAAAAAGAACAATGTAAAACGAGAAAATCCTAAAAACATTTTTTTTCCCTGGCACAATTAACACTGCTGGGCCAAAAAAGAGAGAGAAAAATTTAAGGATGTTAATCGATCAGATAATGTGGACCTACATTTTTTGTGGCAAACGTCAAAGTTATTTTTTTTTTAAGTAGAGAGCCTCTAAAAAGTACTAATAATTTCTCACTACACATTAGTGGAGAGTTACAAGATGTCTACACAAAATTTCCTGAAAGATTTAGTGACTTTACAATATGCCTTCAGGAACAGAAATGGACTCTCGACAGAATACCAAAATTTGTCCACATGAGGGCTGCAGCTAATAATGGCAAATATGCTTGACATTAAAGTCAATTCACAAATAAGGCATCACCAAAACACACACTGGTCCATTGGAACATGCTGAACCAATCATTGGCATATTTTCTGCTCCAAGTGGAACTGTGAACGAACATCACAACCGTCTTCAGATGTCTATTTGCTATCAACGTAACACGTTTAATTTTAAAATTACTTGAAAATATCATTGCCCAATTTTGCCATATTCACAATTGTGATCTGAAGATGAAAATAAATGCCACTTGAAAATAGTTTCAGATGTTGCACTGAACCATCATTGTTGGTAATGCCTTAGCATGAACTGGCTTAGTTATACCACCACTTAAGCAGAACACTGAAAGCCAAAAGTAAACCCTTTAAATACAAAAGTGGCCAAAAAGGAACTGCTTCTTTTGCCTGTAGCTTCTATTAGAAAGTTGTGGGTTTTTTTTCAAATGTGACAGTGGTGGCCTTATTTAAATTATTTCCCCTCGGTTTTGCCATTTTTTAATGCTATAGTCACCAGGAAAGAGGGAGTTCTCTCTCTCCAATGGGTCAAGTCCTGTTCTAAGGCCTTTGTGACTTGCCATACAGTATAATTGTCAAGCAAGGGTAACATTATGATTGTGGAACACAGGCATTGAGGGAGATGAATGAGTGATCTCTTCAGCAGTGATTCCATTCCTCTAAAACATTAATTGCATTTCTAGTGGCATGTTCTTTTAGCATCCTAGTCAAGTTATCTTACAGCTGGTCAGAAACTCATCATGCAGCGCCAGGCCCGTTCAGTGCATTGTACATCATTCCTCAGAACTTGGCTTTTAGTACCAGGGGTTCCACTGCAGCTTTTGATACAGACAAATTTGGACAACATAGGACATCCATGTTTTCCTCTCCTAATTCTCCCCAGCGTGCACTTTTAAATCTAAAAGTCAGGGATTCAGAAGGGAGGAGATTTACAAATAAACTGTTTAGATGTTTCCCTTACACCTCTTTTTATTTTATTATTCTGTTTTTCACTCTAGCAACATGTGGAGTTCCAAAAGAAAAAATACTCAAACACACTAATACTAGTTGAGGGGAAAAAGGAAGACTCGTTTTAGATTTCAAATAAGCTGCATTGAGGGATTTTTTCTAATCAAATGCTGTAGTGAAACACAGTATCTGAAAAATTGTGTAATACCATTGTTGGTTAGTAACAGTCCCTGGTTTTCAGTTACTTGTAGTCATATTTTGTCAACAGAAAATAAGACGATACAATGCATTTCTTAAAATTAAAAAAAAATCATTGCTAAGGTCAGGGAAGGCTTGGAAGGAAAACTTTGGGAGCTGTTTTATTCAGACTTAAACCAATGATGTGAACAATTTAAACCCTTCTAGGCAATAACAGGGAATTTTGTCAAGTACATCTAAAATCTCACACCTTTCAGGGACTGTTTTTAACTATTATTATTGACTGTTCTGGAGACCATGCATCATTTTTGATATTTCACATTGTTAACATGCAAGAAACAGGCTTTAGCCTGGCAATAAATATAACACAAAAGACTTGCTATAAAGGGTTTAAACCAGTATATAAGCAATCACATATCAAAGCAATACATTTTGTAAAGAAAACATGCTGTAACTCTTCATTCCTGTTACACAGTCATTTTACATTCATACCAAATACAATATTGAAATAAATTTAAATTAAAATATGGAATATTAGTAAGGATGATTAGTGAAAAGATCAAAGACAAGACAGAAATGATTAAAGATGGTTCAGCCACACACATACTGTTTCCTGTTAAACCTCCATAAATATTAATAAAAAATGGTAATCAGCAGGGGATAAGGGGCTCTTTTGTACAGCCTTTTGGATGGATGCTAAATTCATATGATACCTGTAGCAGCTGCATAAAAATCCAATCATTCTCTACCATACCCTTGTAGAAATGATCAGGATGCTGAATGGAACTGTTATATTTGCAGTTCTAGTGAAAATAAAAACAGAACATAAAACAACTTAATTATCCTATTTTAGGTTCTTGAAAGACAAATGGCTAAAAGGGAATGGCAGAGCCCTTTACTCCACATAAAACGCCCCCCAAAAAGGAAACAAAAAACAAAACACGGGAAGTGTCTATGTATCTGAAATCAAGCCAGTGAAACTTGGATTTTGCTAATGAACCAAATGTTGCTGTTCCACTGACACAAAAACTATTTGATAAGAGCCGCACGCTGAGGCAAGATTCTGAAGCTCTCTGGAAATGTTTACAAAACTATCAACATTTTAGACTTCAGCTCTCAGCTTTCGTTTATTTTATCATTTTTATAGTGGCCAAAATGTTTTTGTGGCAGTTTTTAAAAACAGACTGAAATTCTTTGTTTCTGATCAGAAAATGAGGTGTTGCCAGAGTGCCAGACGCTCTGCATTCTCCTCCAAAGTAGAAAGTCCCCCAAGCCCTGTCAAAATGTCTAGAAGAAAATACCTCAGATTGTCTGAGTGAGGTGTCATTTAAAATTCACAAAGAGTAATGGGGAATATTTCCAGGAACAAAGAAAAGCAAGGGAAATGGCTGATTGTTCTTTAAATAAGTTGTCAAATAACAGTTCCTTGTCTAGAGCATGCAGGACAAAGCACCCCTTTTTCTCTGCTGATTGCTTTTTGTTTGTTTGTTTTTTTGTTGTTTTTTGGTTTTTTTGTTACCATACAGTCTCCCGGATTTCACTGCTCCACCCATCACTAATAGTAGTTTTACTCTTGAAACTCAATGGTAATAAAAAGTAGATCTATGAGGACATCTAGTGGATCTTTATCAAACAGCAGCTGGTTAAATACAACCGGGACTGGAGGTCACTTGATTGGCAGTGAGTAAAAAAAGCGCCCAACTACCATTACGAATTGAAATGGATACAATGTCATTTCAATTCATCAAGTTCTCATGATCCACAGCAAGTAACATGACAACGAAGGGGAACTTTACAAAGAAATTATGGAAGAAAGCAAGTAGCAGCATTAAAAGAAGGCCATATTGATCTGATTGCCTTTTGGCGACGTTGGGTAACATCATCAATCTAAAAAATTGAAAGGGCTTCCCACAGCACAATTTCAGTTTTCTTAAAAATACAGCAGCCTGTCAAACTGGTGACAATTGATTTTCTCTTAACCTGACCGGCAAAGCTAGCTCTCCGTCATTTCACTGTGTTCCAGGGCAATTTCAAGACCACCAAATGCAGCCTGCAAGCTATTGTGTGAGTTTTGCAAATTTCTGACTTTAAGTGATGTCAGTCATAGGTAATTTGTTAGCCGTTTCCTGAAATTCACAGGGTGTTCTTGTTCTTCAGCCAAAACCGCAGGAGTAGCAGGTGAAGTTGTTGGACAATCGGCACGTTCCACTGCCTTTCGGGAACGTTAGGAAAGACTTGCATGTTTTGAATTAATAACATTTCATAGACCAATTTATTTTTATTTTCATGCATCTTCATGACCCTTCCTTCATTATATTTCAGGGAACACTCAGCAAATGTGTTCTTAATACTTCCTTCCTTCCTTCATTTCTAACTGGGCTGAAACTAGTAGAAGAACTAATGCAAAGTAGCAGTGCTGGGTGGGTTTTTTAAAAACTATATTCTTGTTTGATTCTGCTTGTCAGCTCAAGGTGAATTATATTCAAAAGTGACTATGTAAGACTGGATTCTTCTTTTCAATATCTCTGTTCTTGATGGAGTTGGTCTTCAAAACAGGACTCAAACTAGCCTCTTTTTTCCAGGAATAGTTTTGTGTCTGAGAATAAGTATGTCTAGTATGAATTGTGGGCTACAATATTAGGGCTTACATGGCAACCAAACCAATTTGAAATGGCAAAAAAAGAAGGATTCTATTATATGATATTGTACTTTTTGCATCATTATCTAAACTGTCACCTAAATTCTGATGGCAGACTCTTTATTGGTGGTGATGATGTGCACTACAGATAGAACACAGATTGAATCCTAGACCCTATGGGGAATTTGCAAGGTGCAAAGTAAGATAAATAATCTTTTCTTGTGCAATGAAGACACATCTGATATGTAGATAATTTAGAAATAACGAACAAACCCCCCATTTTGACATTTTTAGTCTAACTTTTTAAATTATAATCTTACTTTTAAACCTATTTATTTTTGACTTAATAGTCCTGATACTGTTAATTGAGCTCTACTGGATCAAAGATGATTGCAGCAGGAACTGGATGCTTGCTTTCAAATCCTGATTTGCTGAAGATAGGAACTGAAATTAAAAACAAAACTGAGATGCAGGAACCCAGCAGGCCAATCAGACCACTGCTTTTAGCTGACATCAGGGCAACCCCCCCGAGGATGCTGGGTGAGGTTCTAGAGTCACTAATGTCAGCACTGA